CCGGTGGGGATTGGGGCGGGCGGCGGCAGCGGCGGCGCGCGCTGCGGGTTGTGAGTGCGGAGGTGCGGACGCGCGGTGGACCTCGAGCTGCTGCAGCTGCTGCCGCAGCCGGAGGAACCTCGCTCTCCGTGCTCCGGACACCCCGGGCCTCGCCATGGTGAGTGAGGCCGAGGGGCGGCCGAGGTGGCGGGCGCAGCAGGACGGGACCCCCGGGAGGGCGAGGCAGCCCCGGCGGGAGCCTCGGGGCTTAAACCCCGAGAAGGATGTGCGGGTCCCAGAAGGGGGCTTTGGGGCTCCCACCAGCGGCTTTGACCCCCGGCGGTGTGCTGAGATCCCCGCATGGGCGTCTGAGCGTTCGGAGAGGACAGCTGGACGCAGAGTGGAGCGTTTGGGCCCCAAAGGCAGCGTTCGGACCCCCGGAATTATTTTTGGATTCAGGACGGAGCTCGTGGTTTCAGATTTGGGTGTGTGGACCCCCAGGAGGCGGAAACCAGACAGAGGTGGCCGGGGAGGGAGCTGCTTGGGCCCCGACGAAGGCTTTGGGTCCTGATGGCAGCGGGGACGGGTGGCCTGGGGGGTCCTGGGGTACGGAGGGGGCAGCCGGGGGTGGGGGCGACTTTGGCACGTTGGATCCTTGGGGGAAGGGGCTCCGAAAACCAGCACTGCAGAGGAGGAGGAGGGAGAGGTAGGTGCGAGCCGCGGTGAGGACGAGCCTGGGGTGGGCGGCAGCGGAAGATTGAAGCCCTCGGGGACCGAGAAGGACTGGGTGGTGCAGGCAGTTAAAGGGGGTGTCAAGGCTGCAGCTTGCCCATACTGGGGGAACAGGGAGCCTTGTGGTTGATTTGGGGGCAGCTGGAAAGGGTTCTCAGAGAACTAGTGGGTCAAGATTGTTGAACTAAGATTTTTTTTTTTTTTTTTTTTTTTTTAATGGGAAGCAGTTGGGCAGAGTGTTGTGTTTGGGTTCATGAAAGGATGGGTTTCCAAGGTGAGCGGTCGGGGAGACTCTGGCTTAGGTGTCAGGAGGTGAGGTTGAGGGAAGCCGGGATAATGAGTAGCAGCCCAAGTGGGCCCAGGTCTGGAGGTGGGTGTGGGCTGTATAATAAAGATGTCCGGTCTGGGTTGGGGGTGGGCTGCAGATGCTGGAGGGAATGGCTGTGCAGTGTCCTGCTTCCCTGGGAAGAATGGGTTGGTAGCATCGGGCAGTGGGGAGCAGGTGGGCGGAGTTGTTTAGGCCCCAGTTGCGCACTGGAGCCCCATGAAATGGGGATGGTGGGTCAAAGTTTGGGGCGCCCCACAGGAGCCAGCTTGTTTGCGCCTAGAGGCCTTAACCGCCTTGCTACCCACTTCAGACCAAGACAGCTGCCTTTCCAGATGGGGGCTGCCTCCCTCTGACCCCAGCTCCGTGCGCCCTTCCACATCTTCTCACTGGTGCCAAAGGACAGTGTTGGGCAGTACAGTGTGGCGCCAGTGATGATCCGACGCCTATTTCCATGCCCTCAGGTTGGGGGCGCAGAGCTTGCCCAGAGGGGACCTTGGGGACCCCTTATTAGCCTCATGGCGTCTTGTTCTTTTCCTGGCCCTCACTGAGTGCTTCTGTGAATTCACACAGCCTGAGCTTTGAGAAAAAAACAGCAGACTAGTTCTTTCTACTCCTGCCACCCACGACACCCCCAGCCCCCCCAGCCTGGAACCCTGTGCAGCCATCCTCCCTGGCAAGGCCCGGGGGAACAGGCAGCCGCGGCCCTGTATCAGATCTCATACTTGCTGACACAGACCTGATGGCTCCTCTTGCCGCTACCCCATTTCCCCCCAGCAGAGCCTCGCTAATGGGGCCCTGCAGTGCTTGCGGGTGCCAGCGGGTCCCCCACCTCCAAAGGAGGGCCCCAGCATTCACCCTGACCAGTTGCACTTCCCATTTGTAATCAGCAAGGTATGGGTGGGACAAGGCACTGTTAACTGGCTTTGGACTTTGGCCTGAGCTCTATGGCTCCTCCTTGGCCCCGGTAAGGGGCCCTGGCCTTGGTTTCTGATCTCATCTGACACTACTCTCTGGCATCGGCTGGGGTAGGCAGAGAAATAATACCCTCTTCCCTCCCCCACCCCAAGCTTTTTTTTTTTTCTTGTCCACCCCTTTGCTAGAGCCCAAGATGCAGGGACAAGGAGGCAGGAGGCCAGCTGGGTTATTTTGCAGACAGTTTTTGGTGACTGTTTACAATCTTCTGGTCTGGAAAGGGGAGAAGCCTGGGGAGGGGTCCCGGTGAGCACTTCTCAGGCAGTTGGTTTTCTGGACAGCAGCCACACTCTGAGATCTGTAGCTCAGAGCTGGGACCTTTCCTGGGTCAAGCGGGGCACAGGGCTCCTACAAGGCAGGGAGTCCGACAGGCCCTCCAGGCAGAGCCACGCCTATTTGCAGCAGCCCTGTAACCAGCAGTGCTCACCTGCGTCTCCCAGCTCTTGGGTGGGGAGCGGCAGATACTGGCCTTCAGCCCGGCTCCCGGGCACTCTGCAGCCCCTTGCAGTGCTGCCCCAGGCAGGCTTGGTGCAGAGCAGTGCCGTGCAGTGGGCTGGGCAGGGCCCTCTCTGCTGGCTGCTGTTTCCACTCCGGGCCTGGGGAGGAGAATGAAAAGCAGATGGAGCGGCAGCCCTCCTCCCCAGGCTGCTCCTCTCTGCTCTGCCTCTCCCCCTCCCCCAGCATTGCTGGCCGTAACCAGAAGCCCATCCTCTCTTCTCACTTTCCGGGGCAGCTTCCTCATGTGTCAGGACGCAGGGGCTGGGCCCGAGCCTCTGTCCACAGGAGCCGGGGGAGGCGGTGGAGTCTTGCTGGTGGGTTGGCGTTGAGCCTGCATCCCTGAGTCTTTGCTGACAGCCTTGCCGAAGAGTCTCCATGTGGCCTCCTCACCTTCCCTTTAGACTTTGGACTTTTCTAGAATGTGCCCGTGTGGCGTTTTTCTTCTCTGCCTTCTTCCCTGCCTCAGCCATCTCCCCTCTGTCATCATCACTTAGATTTCTCCTCCCATCCTGCCTCTTTGGGATTCAGCCCCCTTAGGTTAAACAACGCATTTTTTAGCCCAGGACAATGTTGGGAAGAGGCAATGGTTCGTTCTGGCCTTCAGGGGAAGGTCTAGAAAGCCATGTAGACTAATGGAAACACATACAATAGTTTACTTCCACTTCTGGGACTCCCAAACCTGAGGCCAGAATCTGCTGTAGACTTGGAGCCCCATCCTCTGACTGGGAAGGGAAGACGAGGAGGGGAGTTTTCACCGGACTCACAGTAGTTCGGGGATATGGCGGCAGGGGCGGGGGCTCTGCATTCACAAAAACCAAGGGAAACTTGTGTTTTAGCTGTCCAAAGCTAGATGTTGGGACCCAGCACACACCCTGCTGTCCCAGAGAACATCTGTGCCTGGACACCCACCCGTGCGGGAAGCTCAGTCTCTGCGCCTCCCCAGCCCGCCCCGCTGGCCCACTTGCAGCAAGGGCGGCGGGCCATGGCGGGCCAGGCCCCAGAGTTGCCCAGGATGGAAGGGGTTAAAAACAGCAGCGCTGAAGCTGACTTCAGTCCTTTGCTGCTGCTGCCTGCCTCAGTTCCCTCCCTGACATTTGTCCCGTCTGCCCAAAAGAAAGAGCAGAGTGGTACCTGTGCCCGCCCTGGGTGCCCGAGGTGGAGCCTCCAGCCTGACCAGGGCTCTTCCAGGCACTAGAGCTACACCAAGCCGCTGATGAAGACAATTTTTGCCACTTAGGTTTACCCTGCCTGGGCCTGGCACCTCCAAATAGGTGACACAGAAACTAGCAGAGATGGCCTCACACATCTTCCCGCTGCCCTACCGGAGGACTGGCCTGTTTCGGTTTGGAGCCTTCTAGAGCCGCTTGATTAGGCCTCTAGGGCAGCCGCTCCTTCACACAGCCTCTGGGGCTCCCAGCAGCAGGAGGAGCTGTGGCGGGCTGGGCTGGAGCAGACGCTGTCCCTGCCCTTGGGCCTGAGTTTCCAGCCCACCCTGGCCCCCAGCTTCTGCGTCTCCACGTCTCTCGCCTGCTGTCTGGCTCTGCCTGGGACCCTCACTTGGTCCTTATCCCTTGGCCGGTGGAACTCCGTGTGGCACCCTCTGCAGAGGGACAGCTGGGGCGGGGAGAGGCATCCCGGCTGCCGGCAACTGGCCCGTGACTGACTCTCCTTCCTGCTTTCCAGGCCGACCAGCTGACCGAGGAGCAGATTGCAGGTGAGTTTGCTGGCCCTGTGCCCTAGCATCTTGCCTGAGGGAAGTCTGTGTGCCCAGGCAGAACCTAGCCCCAGGACTAAGCCAACAGGAGTGTGTGCGTCCCTGTGTCACCCAGTGCAGTGCCTGTGCCTGGGATGGTGATAAACGCTTACGCGCTCGCCCTGCCAGCGCCATGGTCCTGAGACGGACCTCAGATATCTGAAGGGCGGCTGTGTCCCCTGCTGGCTGCTGGTCCTTTGGAGCCTTGAAGTCAGGGGCCACGGGACAAGCCTAGCTTTTCTCCAGCTGTACCCAGATAGGCCTAGAAGGTGAGTTCCCTGGCTCCCTGTGGGCCTGCAGCTCCTGTCCCACTTTAGGAGCCGCCCAGGAGATGGCTGTCACTCCCACCTCTGCGCTCGCTGCCTTTACGCTTCCTTTTGCGCGTGCTTGCTCTTGCTTTCCCTGTGCTGGAAGCACTCCTGTCCCAGCCCCTCCGTGGGCAGCCCCGTCCCCTCAGGTCTCAGCTCCATGTCCCCTGCAGAGGCCTTCCCGGCCCCCTAACTCAAGTCGGTAGCCTCACTTTCCCTGTCACGCTGCTCCGTTACTGTGTGCAGTTTGTCACTGTTTCCACCTGTCCTATCCCCCACCCTAGAAGTGAACCCCGTGAGCTCAGGACTTGGTCTTGTTGGTCCCTGCCATCTGCTGTCTGAGCATAGATGATGCTGCGTACACTCTGCCAGCTAAGCAGTGAACGGGGAAAGGACAGTGTCCCTCCCAGTGAGGCAGTCCCGTTCATTTTTGTAGGCCCCTCCCCAAGGTTCTCCGCCCCGGAACTGCTGTGTGACCGCCCTGTGTTTCCCCCTCACCCCATTCTGAGCTGCCCAGGGGTGGGGGCCTCAGAGACCAGCTCCTGGCTCATCTCCCTGGCCCTGCCAGCTGCCCGGCTCGGTGGCCAGACTCGGCAGAGGCCGTGTGGCAGGGACTGAAAGCCGGCCCCTGAAGCGGAGCAGGCAGAAATGGGCTCATCGCTCCTGTCGCCGCTGCCCCTCACAGGGTCACACTCGCAGCAGCTTAGCTTTGGCCCAGGCCAAGTGCCCCAGGAGGGAAGCAGAGAGCTGCATGTTTCCGGTGGGGGAGGAGGGGGACACATGACCCGCCCCCGCCTCCAGCAGCACAGGGAGCTGGCACCGTCCCCAAGGAGGCTGGGAGTCGCTGCCCAGCGGTGTATGTCCCTCCCACCCATTTGCCACCTCACGCCGCGCTGTTCTCCTGTGCCACACGCACACTCCACTTCCCGCCCTGTCCTCATTAGCAAACTCCGCCACCTCACCCCAGCCCACACCCCCTGGGAATAGGCCGCCAGGCATCTGTTCTCCGAGGGCTTGGGGGTAGGGGAGCGCCAGGTGCCAAAATGGGCCCAGTGGGAGGGCAGGAGCCACGTGCTCCTCCCGTTCCTGATGCGTCCCCAGCTGCGGCCTTCCCACTCAGCGCCACTGGCTGCCCTGCCTCCCACCCCATCAGCCACGCTCTGCTGCCGACCACCCCCGCGCTCAGCACTCGTAGGCTCCGCGCCTCAGGACACCGCGGTGCCCGGCGTGAGGGATCCGGTGTCCACATGGCCTCTTGGCGGCCCGAGGCGTTCCACAGCCTCTGCCCCTCCCTTCCCGGCCCTCCCCTCCCCTCTGCCAGTTGACCTAGGCTTGCACACTTCAGATGAAGAGCGCACTCGGCTCTCATCTGCCCATGGCTTTGCTCCATTTCATCATTTGAGGAAGAAGCTGAAGCCAGGACCAGAACAAAGTGCAGTTATCTAAGGAGAGCGTCAGTCCACCTCCTCCCCAGGTCTTCCCTGAACTGGGTTGGCTGAAGAAGTTGGCCAACCAAGGGCTTGAGGGAGGTCAGGCTCCACACCTTGCGGTGGGGCAGACTCGCTTGGCCTTCTCCAAGGAGGTTGGGTGCTCCCTGTGACCTCCTGACCTGGACCTGTCCCCTTTCTTCCCCAGAATTCAAGGAGGCCTTCTCCCTCTTCGACAAGGATGGAGATGGCACTATTACCACCAAGGAGCTGGGGACAGTGATGAGATCCCTGGGACAAAACCCCACTGAAGCAGAGCTGCAGGACATGATCAACGAGGTGGACGCAGATGGTGAGCCCAGGGAGTCTCCCCTGGGGACCGATGGGGCAGCGTGTCCTCTGGGGTCTCCGGGCTCATCTCCCAGGGCCCAGGCCAAGAGCTCTTCCTCCCCCCTCCCTTCCCCCCGCCAGGGAACGGGACCATTGACTTCCCGGAGTTCCTGACCATGATGGCTAGAAAGATGAAGGACACTGACAGTGAGGAGGAGATCCGAGAGGCGTTCCGCGTCTTTGACAAGGTGAGCAGTCCTCTCCGGACGCTGTGAGACCCGCGCCAGCAGTGAGTGTGGCCGGAGCCTCGAGCCCCCACCCTAGGGCAGCCTGGGCCCCCGGCCACCTGCTCCTCACCTTCAGTCCCCGCCTGCCCCCACCCCCTTGCCAGCGGGAGCTAAGCAAGAGCCCTTGTCCCCAACCTCCAGGACGGGAACGGCTACATCAGCGCCGCAGAGCTGCGCCACGTAATGACGAACCTGGGGGAGAAGCTGACGGATGAGGAAGTGGATGAGATGATCAGAGAGGCGGACATCGACGGCGACGGCCAGGTCAATTATGAAGGTGAGCGGTGCCGGCCAGGCGCCGGCTGGTCCCTCGTGCTGGGGAGGCCGCCAGGCTGCACCCTCTCACCGTCTCCTCCCTCTCTCTGCAGAGTTTGTACAGATGATGACCGCGAAGTGAAGGCCCGGGCAGCTGGCGATGCCCATCCTCCTGATCTCTCCTCGCGCGCTCGTCTCTCTTCCACACTCCCCTGCGTTCCCGGTTCTAGCAAACACCAATTGATTGACTGAGAATCTGATAAAGCAACAAAAGATTTGTCCCACGCTGCATGACTGCTCTTTCTCCTTCCTCCCGAGCCCCCCTCCCGGCCCTCACTGCTCCTCCCCCTGCCGTTCAGCGCTCCAGGCCTGATGCGTTCATAAGACCCACCCCTCGCGGAGCCTCTGCCGCCTCCAGCCCGAGAGGCTCCTCCCTCGCGGTTTGTTTCCTCCCGTTTGTCCTCTTATTTGGGTGCTGGGGTGGCTGCCAGCGCTGTCCCGGTCCCGCGGGGGTGCAGCCCCCACCCAGGCAAGGAGCATGCCCGTCGCTCTTGCATGCAGCCAGCCCTGTGATTCCGCGTGCAGACCCCGGCAGCCCGGGGCAGGGGCCAGGCGGGGCGAGCAGAAGCACCGAGGGGGCTGAGGAATTGTGGCGCTGATCGGACGTGGCTCAGGAGGGGCGAGGAGCCCTCGGCAGCTAGCATGCTTTTCCCGCCGGAGGGGCCGGCTCGGGAGGGGCCGTGCAGAGTGGACGGCTCCCAGGTCCCGCTGGCTGCTGTCCTGGAACCACCTGACCGGCTTTCTGAGACGGGCTGGGTGGGGGCTGCACGTTGGGCCACTGCCCTTCACCCTTGCCCACGTCCCTCAGGGGTCCCAGCTGTTCTGTAAATACCTGGTGCTAACATCCCATGCCCTCCCCTACGGCGCACCCGCCCCCAGGGCCGTCTAGGAATGGACGTGGGGATGGTCGCTCTGTAATGTGCTGGTTAGCCTTCCCCCCCGCCCCCCTTTATGTCCCTTAAAACTTTGATTTTGCCCCAAACCATGCTGGGCCAGCCGAAGGGTGGGGAGAGGGAAGATGAGCCCAACACGCCCTCACCGGAACAAACCTGCAATAAAACGCTCCTGCCGGCCCGCTGCACTCTGCACGCAGCCGGGGCGCCCCCGCCCGCTGCCCGCCTCCGCGCTGACCTGGCCGCTTCGCTCCGCCCGCTGCCTCCGCCCCGCCCCGCCCGCTCCAGCCCCGCGGAGAGCATGATCCGCGCCTCGCTTCTGACTCTCACCTCCGGGACAAGTCAGTCAACGCGGACAGTCAGTCTGGGTTCTTTTCCGTCCTTTTCATCTGGCTCCCCCACCCCGGGTCGATCAGTGGCTTTCCTGGGACCTGCCCAGCTTTGGGACTCTTCCCCGCCCTCTAGCACCAGCCTCGAGGGCGGGAGGGACCGGCCTGGTGAGAGACCCGGCCAGGAGCTGAGGGCAAGGGCAGGTAGGCGTGAGGCTGTGGACACTTCCAGAATGTTTGAGTTGGTTGTTTTTTTTTTTAAACCGGGCAATATTGTGTTCAGTTCAAGCTGTGAAGAAAAATATATATCAATGTTTTCCAATAAAATACAGTGACTACCTGACATAGCTCCTCCCGTCTTGTCTCAGACCCTGGACCTGCCCTGGCGTAGGTCGCGCCCGGGCTGCAGACAGCCTTCCCTGTGCCAGTTCTGAGGCCGCGTCACATCCCACAGGGACCGGGCAGCTCTGCATCACGGTCGCTGAGCCTAGCGTGACTGCAGGGTCGTCGGGGCAGGACGGTGCCACAGCCTTGAGTGCCGTGGGCTCAGTGCCAGCGGCAGGTCCCCGTGGTGGCACACACAGGTGGAGAGCAGCCAGCCGCACCCTCGGCCCAGGGCCGGGGGCTTGTGGGTCACACACGACGAAGGGCAGACAGCAAGGCAGAGCCACTGCCCCGCAGAAGGACCCAGAGGACTCTGCCGTCGGGCGGGGTCACCGCTGAGCTGGAGGCTGAGCGGGCACCCACCTGCGGGCAGGGAGCGGCGAGCAAGCGCAGAGGATGCAACCCGCGAGCACAGACCGGGCAGCCTCGGGGCGCTTCCCACAGGTGCCCGGGGAGAGACGGTGGCCTTCACTCTGCGGCGCTCACGAGCCTAAGTGGCCGTGCTGGGCTGTAGGTGCCCAGGAGGCCGTGGACGTGGAGTTGGTCTGAGGATCTGAAGCAAAAAGTCACAAACATTGCACATACAGAAAACGCACCGCCTTCGTGTGCTGCATGCGCTCCGGAGGAGTGACGTAGCCCAGTTCTCGGGGCTCTCCCAAAGCCAGTGGCCCCAACTGCAAATCCTACATACGTCTCCTTCGGGCCTGGACTGTGGCGCTAACACGCATGGACGCTCACGACGGGACGGCTGTGCAGGAGCGGGCAGAGACAGCTTCCTGCACTCTCGCCAGCCAGAGAAGGCCCCGGCAGTGGCCAGGGCAGAGGGTGCACCGGGCTCGGCCACCAGGGGGCGTTTCCGCGGCCGGGCCGGGCCTTGGCCGGGGCTCCATGGTTGCGCAGCCATCAGACACCAGCCCTGGCTTGAGATGGGGGAAGCGGCAGCCGTTTCTCCAGAGCCTGCATCTGCGTTCCCTTCGCCGCCAGCTGCGTAGGGCGTGGTATTTGTGATGTAGTAGACAGTGTCATGGATAAGAACAGGTCTGGGACCCAACCCTCCATGGCCTCGGGTGACATCCCGGGCCTCTGTGACTCCCAGGGTGGGCCGCAGGTCGGACCGGCCAGCCGGATGGACCCAAGAGCCTGCTGAGCGTCAGCCGTTGTTGACTGGGTGCATCCGGCTTCGCAGGTCATCTTCTAAGCTCCGCATCCGGGACCTAATTGAAACCCTAAGCAGCCATTTCGCTGGGTGGCCTAAGCCTGCCTTGTGCTAGCTGGGAGACTGAGACCCAGAGGGACAAGGCCACTCCTCAAAGGAGCTGGTGTGAATTTGAACCAGATCCAGATTTGCTACATTGGAGCAAATGTAGCCCTCCCAGCTCTCAACTGTGGACTTTTTTTTTTTTTTTTGGTCTTTTTGAGTGGGTTTCAGCATGCAGTTCAGGCTGGTTTGAACTCACTTTGTAGCCCAGGCTGGCCTCAAACTCGAGGCACTCCCCTGTCATAGCCTCCCAAATGCTGAGATTACAGTTATGCACCATCACACCCAGCCACAACTGTGTGCTTTAACTGATACTGTTTTTTTGGGGGTGGTAGGGGCAGGGAATCGAACTCAGGACCTCATCCTTGCCAGACAGGCACCGCGCCACTGAGCTAAATCCCTGGCCAACTGATAGTTTATTAAATGCTAACTTTAGGCGGGCCACAGACAGAGCCAGCTAGTTGGGGCTGGGCTGAGGCTGTGGCAGCCAAGGGCATCTGATACGAGAGTGGCCTTCTTAGCAGCCGGCTACCTGTGGGAAGTTCTGGCCTAGCAATTGATTGTTTTTTATTTTTTGTTTTTTTTTGGGGGGGGAGGGACAAGTTTTCACTACGTATCCCAGCCTGGCCTTGAACCTATGGCCATCCCCCTGCCTGAGCTTCCTGACTGCTGCTACTATGCAGGTGCACCACCACATCCAGCTGGTCAGGCAACTGATGGGAAGCAATCCCACAGAAGGGGGCTCCTCGGGCCAGGGCTATAGCTCAGTGGCATAAGCACCTGCCTGGCAAGTGCAAGGTTCAGAGTTCAATTCCCAGGTACCAAAAAAAAAAAAAAAAATTTAGAAGGGGGGCTCCTATCCCAGCTGGAGCACTGACCAGCATGAATGAGTTTTGGCCCTTACTAAGTCTCAGGGGCCACCTCTGTCACTTCTGACTTGATAATGCTAGAGTGTAGTTTCATTTCTCCAAGCCTCAGTTTACCAGTCTGTAAAATGGAGAAGAATAAGCTGTAAAAGAAAGATCATAAAAATAACCATCTTGGTGGACAGGGCACCAGGTCATTTAATTCTGACCCAGACCACATGGGTCCCTACCGAAATTTAGCACTTGCTGGTACTGGTGGTGCGCGCCGCAGGTGGTAAATGATTACCCAACCCCGACAGGAGATGACGGCAGCCAGGCAGATAGCTGCACTTCTGGGAGCTGCTCTTCTTGGAAGAGCTGAGCTGGATCTCAGAAGTGGGTCCCACATGCTCGGATCCCCAGCGCCAGGCTTTTAACCACTGCATTCCTTGCCTGAGCTCCTCGGCGCCTTTCATCGCCCCCCTCTCACTCCCAGACAAGCTTCGTGATTAAGTAATCATGACTTCCCTCCCATTCTTTATTAATCAAAGACACATGGAAGGCACTTAGCTTCTAATGGCCCCGGGACAGCACTGAGGCTGAGAACTGCAGCTCCAGCGCAACCTTGCTGGCTCGTGATCACCTCCGGTGGGGGCTCGAGGCTCTGCTAGCGCAACTCAGAGCCTGTCCTGAGAAGGTGATCAGACAGGGAAGCTGCCGACTGAGACCAGGCTCCCCTCACTTCCCAGAGGGTAGCAGGCCTGCTAGTGTAGCTACCGTGGGTCGGCTGCTAGGTGCCACTCCCAGTGTGACCAGCAGGTGGGGCCATGACAACAAAAGGCCCCAGAGAGCAGCAGCTCCCAGGACCAGCAGAGGATGGATGTGTAAGGTCCCTTCTGCGGGCTGGCCTCCTACTAGGAAGACAGAAATGAATAAGGATTCGTTCCCAGCATTTCACCTCCTGACCCCCGCTCCAGAGGAGGGTCGGCCACTCGCATCCGTCCGTCCGTATCTTTGTGCTGTACTTCCTTCCGCAGCTTTCCATTTAGTATTTGAGCTGCTCCTTCCAGCACATACTGATGTGATTATTCAGCTGTCCCACTGGCTCATGAGCCAAGTAGGACCAAGGCTGTGACTGTCACTGCTACATCCCCAAGGGACCCCGCAGTCAGCCCCAGGCAGGCTCCAGGGAAAGTATGACAAGTTAATGAGCATATGAAAGACGCAGAAGTAAAGTTGCCGTCAGAACCGGAAGTGCGACGGAGACCTCCTCTTTCCGCCACCCTTTCTCCCAAACTCGAGTCTGGCTCAGCCATGCCCTCCTCCTCCGAGCTCCCCCATGCCTCCCTAGGCCCCGCAACACCCCTCCCAGCCCCACGCACTCTGGGGACAGGACTGTCTTCCCTGGACAGTGAGCGCCAGGAGGACACGGCCTGGGTTGTCCGGGTTACTGTCCCCAGCATCACGGGGCGAGCCCTGCTGATCAAGAGGGAACACGTAGTGCTGGGGCAGTGGCGGGCTTGGCCTGTGGCTTCCAAGCGGCTGGCGGGAGGCGAGCAGACAGCGCCCCCAGCCGGCGCTGTGACAGCGGTGGGCAGTGAGCATGAGCTCGCACGCTTGGGGGCCAGGATACCAGAGGCGCAAGGAGTTTCCAACTCATCCCGGGGGGTGTGGGGGGCAGGAGGGAGCTGTCTGAAAACTGCCAGCCTGGCAGGGGGTGTCACATCCAGATCAGAGGGTGGGGTCCTCACCCTGAAGATGAGACTGAGGGCAGCTCAAGGGGATCAAGTACTGAGCTTGGCGGTGGCGGAAGGAACTGTCTCACCTGGGGGGTGACCGTGAGGAGCTAAGCCCCTCCCCATCCCTTCCTCACTACCGTCTGTTCAGTAGGGGCCTTTGGATTTTTTCCAGTTGAGGCCAGGCCAGGTTTGGCGACAAGAGTAGGACTCATTCTGATGTTCCCAGACCAGTTTGGTGGGGTTTTTTTTGTTTTGTTTTTTGTTTTAATCTTTTTGAGACAGGGTCTCACTATGCACTTCAGGCTGGCCTCGAACTCACAGTGATCCTCCTGCCTCAGCCTTCCCAGGGCTGGGATTACAGGCATGAGCTACCACTCCCAGCCCTGGCTTTTTTCTTATAACTGGACTTTTTTATTGTTCAAATCACCCAAGATACTGTTACTCAATTATGACTGCTATAAAAGTTTCTAAACGCCCTCATTTTTTTTCAGTATTATATATGGGGTTTTTTAGGGTGTGTGTGGTGAGATACCCATTAGATAAAAGTACTATTTTAACACTTTCCAGCCAGTTACGAAGCTGATGACATTTGGTACATTCATACTGTCAACGACTACTGCCAGTCTAGTTCCAGAACCATTTCATTACCCCAAAGAAAACCCCATTCCTATTAACTGGTCACCTCAAACTGTTTGTTTTATTTTGTAGTGCTGGGGATTGAAGGCCTTGCATATGCTAGGCAAGCATTCTGCCACTGAGCTACCGCCCCAGCTTGCTTGCTTATTATTTATTTATTTATTTATTTATTTATTTATTGTCTTTTTGAGACAGGGTTTCACTATGTAGCCACAGCAGGCCTCGAACTCTCCGCAATCCTCCTGCCTCAGCCTTCCTGAGCTGGGATCACAGGCGTACAGCACCATACCCAGCTTATTTTTTATTTTGAGATGAGACAGTGTTTCTCTAAATTATCCAGCCTGCCCTTGAAGTTGAAATTCTCCTGCCTCAGCCTTCTAAGTAACTGGGATTATAGGTGTGCAACACTATACTCAGTTTTGACCTGTTTTTAACTCTCCCAAACAGCTCTTTCTTCTTCTCCTTCTCTTCTTCTTTTTCTTCTTCTTCTTCTTTTTTTTTTTTTCTTTTGGTGTTTTGAGTTGAGATAGGGTTTCACTATGTAGCTCAGCCTGGCCTTGAATTTGGGGCAATCTCCTGCCTCAGCCTCCTGGGTGCTGGGATTATAGGCATGCATCATCACCCTGGCTATCCCTTGCTTTTCTTAAATGTGAGTTGAAACATAGTAACTGCCAATAAATAAATAAAACTGAAAATAATGATGCCATGTTTGTTTTGCTTGGTTTTCAGATCATGTTTGCCCAGATAATAACTGCAACAACAATAACGGCAATAATAGTAACACCTAGCGCGGCCCTTCTTCCAAGCCCTGTACTAAATCGATTTTCAGAGGCAATCTCTCATCCTCCCAGCTATCCTGTAAGCTAAGCACCAGATTATAGTCAGAAAGAGGCACAGAGGGGTGGGGGCTTCCAGCCAGCAAGCTGGGCCCTGCAGGGGATCAGACCATCCGGCTCCACGGCCAACACTGGCTCCACTTCCTCCCTGCTGGATGAGCCAGGGCAGTGATTGCCCTCTCGGTTCTGGACTCCAGCCCACCCCTAGAAGGTCTGATGATGGCTGCCCAGTGGCTGGAGGGTGTGCCTAGCATGCAGGAACTGATGCTCGCCCCTAGCTGGCTGATGAGCTCTCTCAGGTGCTGCTGTAGGCCTTCCCCGGGTGCAGCTTCACTGTTCTAGGCCAGGGGTGAGGAAGGGGAACCGAGGCGGGCAGTGTGGGGCGGGGGTGGGAGGCATTCTGGTCACACACCCCCACCTCTCCACGGCACCTTGCTTCCCTTCTCAGGCTCCCTGCATTCCCAGCCCTGAGAAGGTGGGGCTGGCTGGAAAGCACCCCACAGAGACAACACCAGGTGGAGTCAGCACCTGCTGCGTATTGGTTAAATGAATGGATGAAATCTGTAGGACTCCAAGAGCAGTGAGATAAGGTCAGGCTCTGTAAGGAGGGCAATAATTTGTCCAGGCCCCGAAGAACAGACGCAGGACTGGGGTCTGCCTTCTTGGCTGGTCCCGGGATCCCCCGACCTCCACCCCTTCGGCGGCCGTCTCCCCAGCCCCCCTCACTGGCGGGTCACACCGCATGGCCCGTTAAGCTATGGCGTGTCTTGGGTAGCGGGCGCGTGTCCACCAGGGTCACCTACAACGCAACAGCCTCTCCTTCCTCCCACCTCCCCTTGGGACGCAGGACCCCGAGAGCGATGGGGAACAGGAAGCAGGGAACTTTCTGGGAATTCCTGGCTTGGGAGAGGGCAGGGCCTTCCCCTGGGAACCGGGGTGGGCAGCTGAGACCCCCGTGGTGGATGAGAGCGGGAATCCTAACCTCCACAAACCTGAGTACCCAGAAGCCGCTGGGAACTTGGCCACTTTCTAAATATTTGGACAGTGAGATGGATGGGGAGCCCAGGGCCAGGGCCGGCGGGCCAGGCCGTGGGCTATTTTGAGACAACTGTTCTTTCGTGCTCTGGGGTAACGCTCTCTCCTCCCACAGACTCCACGGCCACCCTGACGGAGGGGAAATAGCAGCTGACCACCCCTGCAATTCGGGGCCAACGTTCTGGTTCCACAGCATCAGCCACGCCCCGGGTTTTCTGGCTCCTGCACTGGGAAGACAGGGCAGAAGGTCACGGGGCCAGTTTCCGTGTCAGCAGAGAGAGCAGGCGACTGCGGCCTCGGCTTTGGACAATGTCATTGTTCCCACGGTGCTGCCACCACCGGGCTGTGAAGCGGGAGGCAAGGGCGCCACCTGTCCCTTACTCCAGGCGGACAGGGGCACCCAGGTCCCTTCTTTCCCCTCCAAAGCAGCAGGGATGCGGGGGCCCCTCCTCCCTGAAGCTGTCTGGGACTGGGGTATCTCTGAGTCACCTCGGGCACGCCGAGGACAAAGGCAGCAGAACCAGAGCCTGAGCTGCCGGAAGACGGCCTTGCGGAAGAGGATGAAGACCCAGGGGTCCACGATGGGGTTGAAGGCGCTGAAGCGGAAAGCGAGGAGGTCTCCCATCTCGCTGCTGTCCGGGGCGATGGCCTGGGTGAAACCGCGGATCTGGGGGCGGGGAGGGGACCGAGAGGGGGCCGTGAGTCCCCCGCCTCCACCCTCACTCGTCCGTCACCTCCCACTCGCTTACCGCAGGGATGAGAGGGGCATGTCAGACGGGAAGGAAAGGAAGTAAGATAAGATGAAACGCAGTCGCTGCTGCATCTTGGAGCAGAGGGAGGGAAAGCCCCAGGGAAGCGCCCGCAGCTCTCTAGGAGGACAGACGGGGCCAGGGAAGTGCTTGCCCGGCCTTCACACCTGCGAGGACCTTGGGCTCGCAGAGGCTGGAGCCTGCGGGCTCAGAGTCCAGGTGCTGTCTGCGTGCCTTTGAGTCTCTATGTCATTGTAACCCTCCCAAAGGCTGAATTAAAGACCCCCAAACCCAGCCCAGCCCCTTGTTTTTTACAGGAAGAGAAACCGAGGCCCAGAATAAGGACGAGACGACCAGGTGCCACAGACCCTGGTGCTGCTCTAGCAGAAAGGGTGAGGGCGGCAGCCTTAAGACCTGCAGGGTGGGGCTGGGCTGGAGGACTGGGGAGCACTGGATGAGAGATTGGGCTCGAAAGCCTTAGTGCGGGGTGACCCTGGCCAAGAGACGTTGCCCCTCATCCATACAAAGCGTGGCAGGGCTAGACTTGGCGCCATTTCCTGCCCAGCGCTGCAGGATGGGTGTGGAAGGTTGTTTTGCGTTATCTGAAGGAGGTATTTGGAAGCCTCAAGCATCCGGCAGGCAGAGGGGGAGCACTCTCAGACCGGTCAGGTTGTCACAGGCCCGGGGGAGGCGGGGTCTGCCTGACTATGGCCGGGTCGGGATGTGGACAGAGATAAGCAGTCAGCGGTCAAGCCGGGCTGAGGCAAACGGGGACAGGTGTCGCTGGGAAGCTGGCAGCTGTTTGGCCTGGACCAAGCCTCAGTCTGACGTCTTTTCTGTGAGAGTGGCTCGTCCAATGGTGGACAGAGCTGGGCACTGCTCTCCTGTCCACCCCCGCCCCCACCGCCCCGAGACTCACCGTGAGCGGCAGGGAGCACACGGTCATGACGGCCGTCATGAGGGCCAGCAGGATCAGGTGGTCAACCTCATCCTCGCGCGTCCGGGAGCTGGGGACCGGCAAGCCCTGGTGGCGCCTCTGCTGGCGGTACATCCGGCAGAGGCTGAGGGTGACGGAGCCGTTGCACAGGACGATGGCACTCACCAGCAAGGCCACGAGGCCGGCATAGGCCAGGGAGAAGGCGCAGCCGCCGGGCTCGGCGGAGCGCAGGCGGATGAAGCACCAGCTCCCCGGGCAGTACTGCTGGTGCTGGCCCAGGCCCAGCAGGGGCAGCGCGCAGAAGAGCGTGCAGAAGGCGTAGATGGCCGGCAGCGCCAGGCGGGCGCAGCGTGGCCCGTCCAGCTGGGCGTACAGGTAGGGGTGGCTGAGCGCCAGGCAGCGCTCCACCGCCATGGCGAAGAGGATGAGCATGGAGGCCAGGCCGAAAAAGGTCATGGCGAAGGCGAAGGCGTCACACAGCGCGGGCCCCCCGCCGGCCAGGCCCAGCAGCGAGCTGTTGCGAGCGTAGGCCACGAACACGGCCGGGCTCAGGAAGCACGTGCCCAGCAGGTCCGTCACCGCCAGCCCCGTGACCAGCACGGCGAAGGCCGATGGGCGGGACCGCCGCCGCGCGCCCAGGATGCCCAGCGCCAGCCCGTTGCCCACCACACCGGCCACGAACATCACCGTGCTGGTGGCCGGTCCTACCGAGCCCTGCACGTAGGTGAGGTTCCGGCAGGAGTCAGCCATGGACTAAGGCGGTGTGCAGCCCGCGCCCGAGGGCTCCCAAGGGTGCGACCACTGGGACGCCCACGCAGGCCGCCGTCCTCGCGGCAGCCAGGGTCTGCCAGCACCCCCAGTGCTCTCGGTGTGCGCCTGCCTGTGCTCCTCACGGTCTCCTCCGCTGCCTGTGCGTCTCCCCTTCCTTCTCTGTCCGTCTGTCTGTCTGTCCTTTCCTCCCTCAGCGTCCCCAGCTCTTTCCTTCTGCCCCTCTGCCTCTTGCTGTCTTGGTCTCCCGGCTCCCTCTCCCCCGCCCCTATCTGCTCCTGCTCAGCGATCCTGCAGCCCGCGGTCTCCCCCTCAGCCGCTCCTCGCCCCAGCCCCTGCCCCAGCCCCTGCCCCGGCCCTGGCGTGTCTCGAAGTCTGAAGTCTGCGCCTCTGTGTCAGCTCCTCCTTCCCTCCTCCTCTGCACCGCCCGCCCTCCGCATCTTGCCTGCTCGCCCAGGCTTTTTCATTTCCTCTCTGCCCCGCCCTCCCTGCACCCGCCTTCTCCAGCAGCCCCCCTGGGGCTCCCTGCCCCGCTCCTGCCCGCTCCTGGACCTCCCCACATCCCATCCAGTGCCTGCCTCCCCTCTCCTCCTCTCAGACTCACAGAAGAGCCACCTGCTCCCTCCCATACTTCGGTCTCTGTCCTTCTTCCCCTGGCGTCCCCCTCAAAGGGCCAGGTTGGGTGTCAGCATCCGGGCACCCAGCTTCGGAGCCTACCATGATGCCACCACTCTCATGGGGTTCCAGCCGGGGCTTCTCAGGGGGGCCTCCAGGCTCTCTTCTGGGCTCCAGGCCCCAGGGTTGGGACACGGCCCCTGGGATTGAGAAATGACTAGGAAATTCCTCCCTGATGCAGTGTTTTCCAGACACCACTGAGATTTCTGGTCCCTGGACACAATTGCTCATGAGCGCAGTGTTTAGAGGAGGGGCGGCTCCGGTGTCCAGTAGCAGGGTCAGACCCAGAGGACTTGGGTGGCCCCTCACGAGAAGAGCACCCTGCCAGCCTCCTGCCTCTCACACAGCAACACGTCCAGGCCCCAGGCCGAGCCCCTTTGACCTTGATCTCCAGGAGTAATATTTTGTCCACAGGCGGGTGGCTGTCCCGGGCTGCACAACTGCTGCCACATGGATGGCTTCCATCCTCTCTGACAGAGCCCAGCGCCTCCTCCCGGGTCACTGTGGCCAGCCCACAGGTCACAGCTGTCAGCACGGCAGTGCAGGCCATTCCCACCAAGTCCACAGCTCCCCGGGAGCCTTGGGGACCACGGGGGCCAGATGGGACCTGAAAAACCCTCCAGACGCGCTTGCAGCTGGAGTGCAGATTCCGACTCGGGCTCCGCATCCACTTCACTTGTGTTTCTGTCCCCTGTGCTGTGCGTGAGAGAGACGCAGGGGGCTGTATTACTGTGGATTGAACTCAGAGCTACATCCTCGGGTCTTTTAAAATTTTTATTTTGGGGATCTTGGTTGGGCAGGGCCTCGCTAAGTCAGTAAATTCCCCAGGCAGGGCTTGAACTCACGATCCTCCCAGAGTGCAAAACAAAACTGTCCCCGTTTGGCCACCTTCTTCCTGTGGGATGGTCCTGGGCACGAACAGGAAGCAGGTGTGCCTCAGTTTCCTCCTCCGTACCAGGCCTCTCACCAGCCTCACAGGCCTCTGGCTGGCGGGAGCCAGCGGCATGGTCCAGGTGTCCTTGTAGCCAGAAAGGACCCCGTGTGGTAGCCCAGCTCCACGGCCGGGCGGCTGCTTCTGACCCAAGGGCTGGACGGAGGGCAGCTCCGGCCGCGCTCTCTGTCCTCCCTCCTGTGACCACAGCCTCCTCGCCCTTCCCCCATCTCCCTATCACCCATGCCCAGCGGGCACCCCAGCTTCCGGCAGGATGGATGCCCTGGCTCCAGCCACACAGGGGATCCCCAGGAGACCACACAGCCTGCCTCTAGGGGTGACTGAGTGCGGGTCCCAGGCCTCTGGGCCATGCGGTCCCCCTCGCACCGTCTGGTTCCCAGGCAGAGCAGAGGGAACTCAGGAAGTTATACCATATTAATGAGGGTTGATGCCCGGCAGGCTTGCGTCCTGTCTCAGCACCAGGGGAGATGCTGGCGGAGGGAGGTGGGGAGTTCTGATTCCCGGAGCTTTCTCCTGCTGGCTTCCTGTCCCCATCGGGATCATGAAGCATGCAGGAAGTTCCCTCTGCTCCCGTGCCCAGGAGGACCTGGGACAAGCCCTGCTTCCTTCGAGGCCTCAGTTTCCCCTCCAGTGCCGCCTGGGGACACAAGTGCCTCCAATGCCAACATCAGTTCCAGGCTCCGGCATCAGCAGCTCTAGGAGGTGACAGCTTCCTTCCTAATGAGGGGACCAAGGGCCCAGGGTTGGGGGCGCCTGTGTTGGGCCTGCTTGAGCCTCCGTGCACTCCCTGGGCGTGGCTGGCCTCATGTCTTGTGCCTGCCGATGGCCCAGCAAGGCCTACAGCCGAGCCCACAATAGGAGCCACTGGGGTTCAGCTCTGCCCAGGTGCCACGGGGAGGGAGGTCACAGCCTGCACGGGAGGAGCAGTGTCTTCAGGGGCCAGGGGAGCCACAGGAGGAACTGCTGGGGTGTTCAGGGTGACTCAGCAGCTCTCTCCTCTCTCTGCCCACTGTGAGAGCAGGACTCACCCTCCCCAGGGACCCAGGGCAGCTGGCAGAAGAGGAAGGACCACAGAGAGCGGATTGACTCAGGGACACAGCACCGGAGGGGCAGGGGCGGGGACCTGGGTGAAGGTAGGTGCCAGGGCTGAGCGTGTGAACTTGGCACGGGGGTCTGTGTGCAATTTGGGGCCCTGGAGGACTTAAGTGAGCTTTTGTTTGTTTTTTCTCTGTCCCGGGGGTGGAACCCAGGGCCTTGTGCTTACTAGGCCAGTGCTCTACCACTGAATCAGCTCTTTTTAGGAGAAGTCTTCCTGAATTGCTCTGGCTGGCCTTGAACTTGTGGTTCTCCTGCCTCCTGAAGCAAGCTGAGATTACTGGTGCGCACCCCCACGCCCTAAGAGAGCATTTTTGTCAGCATGGAGATTGTGGGTTTTGTGGAGATTGTGTATGTGTGTGTCAGTGGATGGGCAAAGCTAAACTGCCTGTGTGGCTTCTGTGAGTGCATCTTCATTGGCTGGCTTGTTTCTTTTCTTTTTTAAATTTTTATGGGTACATGTTTTCCCAGCTCGGGAGGCTGAGGCAGGAGGCTCTCCATGAGTTCAAGACCAGCCTGGACTACATGGTGATTTCAAGGCCAGCCTAAACTACATAGCAAGACCCCCATCTCAAAAAAAAAAAAAAGTATATGTTTGTAGTACATGATGTTTACATTCATTTTAGGGGCTACATACATATACTTATCATGCATTAATTCTTTTTATTATTCATCCCCTCCTCTCCTTTCCCCCTCCCTCCATCTCTTGGTCCACTTCCCATTTGTGAAAGATCAATCTCCCTGTCTCTTATTATCTTTTTTTTTGTTTTTTAAATTATTTATACTTTGGATTTCTCAGATAAGAAAAGCTATGCAATATTTAACCTCATTGTCTGATTTATTTCACTTAACATTATGGTGTCAAGGAGCATCCATTTCCCTACAGATGACTCAAATTTATCCTTCTTTATAGCAGAGTAGTACTCCATTACGAATAGATCCTTGGGGCTGGGGATTTAGCTCAGCGGCACAGCGCCTGCCTGCAAGCGCAAGGTCATGAGTTTGATTCCCGGTTCTGGAAAAAAAACCAAAAAAATAAAACAAAATAAAAATAAATTCCATCCCAGACTGTGTACCTTGGTGACACTAAGCAAGACCTTGTCTCAAAATAAAAATTTACGGGGGTGGGGGATGAGAATGAAGGCCCAGGGTTTAGTCACCACTGTAGGGGTTGGAGACTGGCATAGTGGCGCACATCTATAATCCTAGCACTTGGGAAGCTGAGGCAAACTCAGTATGAGTAGTTTGAGGCCAGCCTGGGCTACATAGCGAGGGTTTGTTTGTTTGTTTGTTTGGTCTTTTTAAGACAGGGTCTTGCTATGCAGTTCAGGCTGCCCTTGACCTCACTTCATAGCCCAGGCTGATCTCAAACTTGCAATGATCCTCCTGCCTCAGCCTCCCAAGTATTGGGATTATGGTTTACATAGTAAAGTTTGGTTTACATGGTTTACATAGTAAAGTCTGGTTTACATAGTAAGTTTGAGCCCAGCCTGAACTACAAAGAGAGACCCTGTCTCAAAAAAACAACGAGACAGAGTGAGACAGAGAGACAGAGGCAGATGGAGACACAGAGAGAGAGTAGGTACGGAGCTGTGACAAGCCTCTCCCACACCTGCCTACCACCTGCCCCCAGGCAGGAGGTGCCACAGACCTGATACTGCCACTTGCCCTGGGCCTGACCTCCTTCCTGCCCAGTATCCAGCCTCCTGGCACTGGCCCAGGAGAAGGCTCGCCCCTCCTCATGCCCTGCACATTCATGCCACCACTGCCGTGCCTTGCCAAGGCTGCTGGTCCGTCTGTGGCCTCTGCTGAGAAGCTGTCCTGTGTCCATCCAAACCCGTCCTCCCTTGGCAGGGCCCACACCTGTTGTCAGAGGCCGCTTTCCTCTGTCTACCACCCTGCACCCCAACGGGCCTTTGCTGCCCTCCCTGTCTCACTTCCCCTTCGCCAAGGCCCAGCACCCGAACCTCCCCTCGCAGCCTCCATCAGACCCCAGCTCCAGTCCCCACCGCCCACCTGGCAGACGGTAGCCCTTTCTCTGCGCCTGATTTCCACGTCTGCAGGATGGGGACAAGCACTGTCTCTGGGGGCCCCTGGTGAGGACCCAGTGAGATGGGGACTGTGAAAGGGCCCCCAGGGTGTGCTGGCCGACCTTCTCTGCCGCACCAAGCAGCGCTCTGATCGCACAGGGTCAGGGTGCGGGAACCAGGGTGTAAAGGGAAGAGGCCTGCCCTGGGGTGGGGCAGCCAAAGCTTTGCAGAGTAGAGGGGAGACAGAGGAGGAGCAAGCACTCCCTGGGCGGCCACCTCGCCCCTGCTTGGCCTGGCCCTGACCCCAGCCTGCGCCTGGCCCTAGAGCTGACCTCACAGATAGGGTGGCAGGAAAGAGCAGTGGGTGAGCAGGCCTGGCGTTGCAGCCGAGCTGTAAGGCTAATGGAATTAACTGGGTCTGCACACATGGCAGCTGGTCACCCAGGGACCTGCCCTGTCCCTTCTGGCTTCTGGCTTCTCCCTCTTCCCCGACTCCCTCTTCCAGGCAGACCTCTCCTCCTGGTCCCTTCTGCTCCTCCTGCCCTGGCTCCCCCATACCAGTCCCAGCCAGCAGCCCTCATTTCCCCGCAACTGTCCAGACCCAAAGGATGAGGAAGGGAGGCAGGGGTGTAGCTCAGCGGCACAGCGCCTGCCAGGCAAGCTGGAGGTCGTGAGTTCAATTCCCAGTACCAAAAAAAACAAAACAAAACAAAACCCAAAAAACAGAAGATGAAGGAGTGAGGGAGGGTTCGGCCTGTACAGCTCCCAGATTCCAGGCTGCAAGAGTCTGAACCCAAAAGGTCTAGGCTCTGGAAGTCCCTACACTCCCGAGGCGCCCAGCTCAGGGTCTCTGCCAGACAGAGAGATAAGCCCCAGGGATCTCAGCCCCACAAGTCAGTAGACTCTGGAATCCAGTCTTCAGAGGTGCTGGGGTCCTAGACGCCTCTGCATGTCGGGCTCTAGCTGCAGCGGTGCTGAGTTTGGGACACTGGGAAAACCTCCCGGCTCCGGCCCTCCCTGGCATCCTCCCCCACCCCCACACCGGCTCTTCCTTGGCTCTCTCCCTGTCCCCCCCCCCCCGGCTCCCCAGGGGCTCCCACAGACATGATGCAACTAGGCAGAGCCGGCAGAGAGGTGGGAGGCAGGAGGGAGAGGTAATTACAGCAGCTTCTGCCCCAATCCTACAGGAAGCTCAGAGTCTGGACCCAGGGGATGCTAATCCGATCCGAATAATGGAGCATTTGCCAGACTCACGGAAGGCACGCAGGGAGGAGAGCCCAGCGAGCCACCTCCAGCCACATCCAAGGGTCCAGCCTTCATCAGTCCTAAGCCGATGGCAAAGGAAGGGACGAGCAAGGGGAAGAAGGGGGTTGCAAACCCAGAGGCCCTCAGGTCAGCAGATAAAGTGATTACATCAAACTCACGGCCTACCCCATCTGAGTTTTCCCATTTCTTTTCTTTTTTAAAAAAGATAGGGTCTTATCACTTCTCCCCCTTTTGGCTAAGATCAAGTGTAGTACCTGTTCTTATCAGTTTAAAAGATAGGGTCTTTATACACAGTTCAGGCTGGCCTTGAACTCACTTTGTAGCCCACGCTGGTCTTGAACTCATAGTGATCCTCCTGCCTCAGCCTCCCAAGTGCTGGGATCACAGGTGTGCGCCACCACCACATCTGGCCTCCTCTGCTTCTTTAATAGGGAGACAGTGGGGTGTGGTGGGGAGTTCAGCAGGCTGGAAAGCCAGGGTCAGTCTCATAGCCTATGGTCACCCTGAGGGTCAGTGAATCTTACAGTTCCAGAGAAGCTGGCAGTATGGGTTTTCATTCAAAATGTCTCTATTCTCCAAACTGGGAACCGAGTCAAGAATGTCTTTAAACACCATATAGGCTAAAAGTAGAAAGGCAAAAAGTACAGCGGCTGTTGCAAGCGACCAGTGTGTGTGCTGGGAAACAGTGAGCAGGGCCCGGGACTGTTAAAAGTCCCTTCCTCTGTCTTCAAAATGAAAAAAAAAAAAAAAAAAAAAAGATTTTCTTTTTTAGTACTGGGGATTGAACCTAGGGCCTTCACGCTAAGCTACACCCCCAGCCCTTTTCTTAATCATTTGAGACACAGTCTTGTTAAGTTTCCCAGGCTTCCTCAAGCTAAGCGCTCTTCTTCAGGTTCCCAGGTCTTATTACCACCGTGCCCTGGTCCTGATGTCTCCTGCAGGAAGCCCTTCCTGTCCCCCAGGCTGGGTCAGGCTTTCCAACATCTCTATGTAGGGACAGACCTGCCGTTCCCACTGGACCTCGAACTCCAGGAGGGCAGGACCAGGGCGATCTGGGTCACAGAGCAGGTAGCAGGGGAAGGTGAGACAGCAGCGCAGGGAGGGGGCTGGAGTCCTTCAGGGAGGAGCAAGCCCAGCCAGGGCTACAGGGAGCCTGGGGTCCACAGTCTTCGCCCCCAGATCTCCGAGCTCTGAGACTTTGAGACTCGGTGTGCTCATCTGTAAGATGAGTATCATGCAGCTGTTCTCTGGGGCCGTTCGGACAATTTTTAAGTAAGTTCAGGATGGGATCGTGGGGCGCTGGGTGAAGGATAATTCCTTCCAGGCTTCGGTAGCGGTGTGTACCCTCGGCATTCACGCAGCCCACGTTCCACACACACTCGGGAGCACGGAGAAGGAACACAGGTTCCCTCAAGGTAGTCCCAGGCTCAGCGTGTGCCTCAGTTTCCCCGAAAGCACAGGCACCACCACAGTCACCAAGTTTATTGGAGTCGTACTTTGGCAGGGGAGGGGAAGCTCTCGGGAGGGCTCACAGGAGGACGCAAAAGAGGCGCTTGTCGCGGAAGGGATTCTCGGCAGCGGGTACCGGCGTCACTAGCGGGTCGTCTTTGGCGTGCGTCTCGCAGAAAGCCAGGAGCTCGGCCGCCGCCTGCGACACCTGCAGGTGCGCAGCTGGATGTGTAGAAGCCCCGGCCTCACGGCCCCGCCCCTCGGAACCTCCCATGCCCCGCCCCTCAGAACGTCAGGGCCCCGCCCCTATTCTGGCCCCGCCCCTGGCCTGCCCCCTAAGGGCCCCGCCCCCAAAACGGGCCCGTGCAGACCCCTACTCTTATCCTCGCGGCCCCCGCACCTTCATACGGTCGATGTTCACTTCCAGCTTCAGCTGTTCCACGGTCTTGCGGGCCTCGGCGATCTTGGCCATGTTGTTGGACATGGCTGCAGCAGGGTAGAGGTTAAATACCAAGCAGGAGTGGGGGGCCTGCAGGCCGGGACACGTCTATGTCCCGAGGTAGGGTTGGCTGCGTAGTGGGACTCAGTTACAGGGGCGTGGTGGAAGGGCCCGCGAATGGGGGTCCAGGGACGAGAACAGGAAGGGCTGGAGACCCCTTGTGGGGACAAGGGGAGAATGAAGGAGTGTCCAGGTGGGTACGTAGAGGCAGGTGGAGGAGGCACAGAGAGGGCCGGGGGAGAAAGGAGAGACGCACAGATGGGAAGCGGAGAGGCCGGTGGAGGGGACCCAGGAGGACAGGGCCACAGGTGCTGGATAAAGATCTAGGGATCCAGGTGTCCTCACCCCCCGGGGATGGAGCAGGCGCCAGGAAAGGGGGGCCCTCCCCAGGCCAATTAGCGGAGGCTCCAGGGAGAACTGAGAATTAAGATCGCGGCGGGAGGGGCGCAGAGGGGGCCTCATTAGGGCCTCGGCAGCAGCTGCCCCCTCTGCCACCCTCGGGGAGCCCCCCCATCCCAACCCTGGCTGCCTCAAAGGCTGCTCTGCTCATTAGCAGCCAGGAGAGAGGGCTGGGGGAGCCCGAGCCAGCCAGCCAGGAGAGGGGCGGGAGGATGGAGGGACGGCCGGGGAGCAGCAGCGGGGGCAGGAGACAGGCGCGGGCAGAAAAACTGAGGATCTGGAGAGAGAGATGCGGGGTGGAGGGGTGAAGGAAGAAAATAAAGACGGGAGCCGATGGAGGGGTAGAGGTAGGGGCAGAGTGACAGGGGAGACAGGCACAGAGGGGACAGGGACAAAGCAGGGGGACAGGGACAAAGGAGGGAGACAGGGACAGGGACAGAAAGAACCGGCCAGAGAGAAGTGGAGGGGCTGGGGAGAGACGCATGGAGAATGCGGAGCGTGGGGGCAGACAGAGGCACTGGGAGAGCCAGGCTGGTGGGGACACAGTAGTGCTGGCATCCATTCACTCACTCGTTCATTCATCCCCAGGCAGACAGACGGTGGCCCGGGAGCGGGGTGTCCGGACCAGGACCAGAGCCTCCTACCTGTTGCTGCTCACCGCCGGGATGGCTGCAGCCAGCGGCTGAGAGCAGCAGCGGCCGGCCGCGGGTCCCCTCCCTGGCCTGCCCCGCCTCCTCTCCTGGGGCGCAGCCCCTCAGGACCCGCCTCCTCCCGCAGCTGCCACCCTTGCCAGCCCTGGGTCTCTCTGGGTCCTCTCTGTGTCTTTCTGTCCCTCTTTGTCTCTCTCCTGTGTTTTTGTCCCTCTTGTTTTCTTGGGGTATCTCTCACACTCACGGGAAGATGGTCCCTTTAGGGGGTGCCCTGTGTGTTGCCCCAGTTAATCCACAGTCACACAAACCTGTCCCACACAGCCTCTTACTCCATCACACACACTCTCACCATGTCATTGCGGTCACACTCGCCACCTCAGTGTTACCCCATCATGCACGGCCCTGTCAGCAGCACACACACTCATGCTCCAAGTCCCACACATAGGCACACCGTCACTGTGTGTGTGTGAGTGTGTGTGTGTGTGTGTGTGTGTGTGTGTGTGTGTGTGTCTGAGACAGGGTCACGATATGTAGTTCAGGCTGGCCTTGAGCTCACTTTGTAGCCCAGGCTGGTCTCGAACTCGAAATGATCCTCCTGCCTCAGCCTCCCGAGTGCTAGGATTACAGGCGTGCACCACTATGCCTGGCCTAAGCATACCATCTTGATGGGTACACAGGAGTACCTCACTTTCACGGACAACCTGGACCAACACAACCTCACAAGTTCTCTCCAAATGCTGTAGTTACCATCTCTCACCACATACTACACCAGTTCCAACGGTGGCACCATAACCGCAGATATACTATCTCAGCGCTCCAAGTGTATGAATAAGTTCTTCACCATCATGCACAACTTCTCAAAATGCCACACACATAGATGCACAATTTAAACTTCTCCCACAGTCTTACACACACGTCTCAGTGCCCCACACCGTGACATACCACCTGTCCGGTGGGCACACGGACAGCCACGTATCTTCTGCAGTGCAGTGGCACACACAATCTTACACGTTCCCTCCCCCAGGGAACACACACAGAGTCTCTGTCTCCCACACACACATACCTTTCAGTGTCATAGCCACACACAATGGCTCAGGGTCTCATAGAGCCCCCCTCACCATCTCAGAGCTTCACACACACCGCTGAGCTTCAGTCTGTGTCACACGTGGCTGTCACACCCATTCCCTGCCCCACGCATCCTCGTGAAGCCATCTCCAGCACACACTCGCCTCAGCGGCCCACCACTGGCTGCTACACCCTGAGCCAGTCTCTCAGCGTCACGCACAAGCTCAGTGTCACAAGCACTTTCTCACAGCCCGCTGGTGTGGCTGACAATCTCACACTCGCGGTCTGCCCCACCCAGGACCATCACTTGCTCAGACCATCACTTGGTGAACCCCAACCATTGGCTCACCCTGCCCCGCAACACACATGGCACGCCGGTCCCCTGTCCCTCCATACAGCCGCATACAGTCTCTCACTCCCCATGGTCTCAGCGTCACGGAGTCCCCAAGAGGCATCTCTCCCAGACCAAATCACACAGGACCCGGCACAGCCACACAGGGCCGCCTGCAGTACCCGTGTCACAGCACTCCTAACCTGACAGTGACACACAGTCACCGACACGTAACTCTCACACGCAGTCCCATTCGATCCCTCCTTGTCACTCAATCCCTCATGCCAGTCACACGGCCTCCCGCGTCGCACAGCACCGGCAGGTGTCACTCTCGGACCCCATGGTCTCTCTTGCTCTTTCCCGCCCGTCGCAGCCCTCGGGCTTCTCCCGACCTCCCTGCCGGCCACACGGCGGCGCCCGTGGCCCGCGAGCCGCCACCCCACCCGCGCGGAGGCCATCAGGACGTGGAGACTCGGGGACCAGGCGCCCTCCACGGGCCCTGCGGGAGAGGGAAGCGGAGACTGGGGCCAGAGGAAGACGCGGGAGGGAGAGGGAGACCTCGGGAGGCGGAGGGGCCAGGGACCAGAGCCGAAGATGGACGATGGACAGAGAAATTCAGAGCTGAGTGGTGCGGGGAAAGACAGACACACAGCTAGGGACACAGAGACGGTCACTTAGAGGCGCAGAGACTGCGGGAGTCAGGCGGAGAGCGGCAGAGGACTGCAGAGAGAAACAGGGACAGGAGAGACAGGACACAGAGACAGAGGGCACAGGAGGAAGACCCAGAGACGGCTGCGGAGGGACACAGCGCGCTCTCCACCCGGCCCGGCTAGCGGGGCGCGCAGGGGGCGTGGTTTCTGGGCGGGGCTCCGGCTGCCTTCGGGCGGGGCTTCTAGGGGCGTGTCCTTGGGCGGGGCTTCGGGATTTTCTCGGGGGGGCGGGGCAGTCCGCGCTTTTGGAAAGAAGTGGAGGTGGGGGAGGAGTGGAAGTGTTCCTACCGCCTCCAGCTCTACCCAACTCGGACTCCAATGGCTGGAAGGGAAACAAGACGGGCAGGGAGGGGTCACTGGCTTCTAGTAGCCTTCTGATGCCGGCATGGGAGCCAAGCTCCTCTCCCCCTCCGTCACGGGCGCAGCGGGCCAGGTTGGGGAGGGGAGCTGCGCCCACATCTGGAAAGCATCAGGCGCGCCGGACGTGCCAGGGCCCCGGGCCGGGCTGCGGGGGTTGGGGGAGCGGGAGGAGGCGCTCCCCTCACCACCAAGCGGGGTCCGCCGGCGCCGAGGAGGGGCCTGGGCGTGTGCCGAGCCCGGCGCCTCCCGCAGCTGGTTTCCATCAGCAAATCTGGCCGGGCAGCCCCTGAGGAGGAAACCCAGCACAGAGCCGGGAAAGACAGGGTGACGACCCAGTCATCCCTCCCTCCCTGCCCTGGACAAAGGGCAGAGGCGGGGGAGGGTCGCACCGACTTCTGCCCCTTTCCAGCCGGAGACAACCTTCCTTCCCACGCTGTGCTGCAGTGGAACCGGTCCAGCCTCTTGACAACCTGGTGCTCCATCATATTATTGTCCCCCTTATTTGGAGGAGGAAACTGAGATTCTGGACTCGGATTCCAGGGATGATTAATAAAAGGGAGCACTGAATTCTGGGATCAAGGGCCCAAGCACCTACTGAGAGTCCGGTGGATATTTTAAAGTGTCAAAAACTCAGCCCCTAATTCCTTCGGCCACACCCTCCCTTACCTTAACTTTAACCAGCTCAATGGGTGGCGAACTTTTGCGTGTGTGTGTGTGTGTGTGTGTGTGTGTGTGTGTGTGTGTGTGAGATTCCTAACTCCCTGGGCTCACTCTCCACAACTAATCTAGCAACAAATCCCAGCGGCGCCATCCCAAAACGGCTCCAGAACCAGGCACTTCCTCCTCTGCCCCACCTTGGTCCACCTGGACTATCGCAGTGGTCTCCTTCTTGGAAGCTCCTGGAGGCTCCTCCTGGCTTCTACATCTGCCCTTCTCAACCTGTCTCCCCAGAGCAGCCAGAAAAACCCCGTTTAAAACTAAGGTCTCGGGGCTGGGGATTTAGCTCAGTGGCACAGCACCTGCCTGGAAAGCACAAGGTACTGAGTTTGATTCCCGGTACCACAAAAAAAAAAAAGACTAAAGCCTCATGTTGGATGTGGTAATATATGCCTGTAATTCCAGATTCTGGGAGACTGAGGCAGGAGGATTGCTAGTTTGAGCCTACCCTGAGCACTTTAGCAAGACCTTGTCTTAAAAATAATGAAAATAAGGGCTGAGCCAGGCATGGTGGTGCATGCTTGGCTCACCCGGTCTGGGCTACATAGAAAGTTCAAGGCCAACCTGAACTACATAGTGAGACCCTGTCTGAAAAGGGGGCGGTGGCTGGGAATGTAGCTCTGTGTGAAGGCTCTGGATTCAATTCCCATATCACAAAAACAAAACTAGCTGGGTGTGGCGGCACACACCTGTAA